CAAAGGGTACAGTGCACTTGCTTTTGGTGCATCCAGATCCTACTCGTTCTTTAAAGTTCTTTAACGATTACTGGGGTCTGGCGAATCTTACTGGGATGCAAAACCCTTGCTGCCTCCAGGTGACTTTAACTTCCTTCCACCCCCTTATGGGAGACTAATGGAAGCAAAAGGAAAGGGCCGTGGCTTCAGCTGCCCTGCGAGACCTCGATCGTTATGGCGGAGATCTCGCCGTCTGTGCTGGCTCTGCGGTGGAGGCGGCTCCCCTGGCAGGGAGCAGGAGATGACCCACCTCAGCAAACACTTCGGGGGCGGCCGTCGCACCCCTCACTTTCGTGCCGGCAGCTGTCGGGGCAGTTCGTGTCTGGTTCCGCCTTGGTCCCTTTTGGTACGTGCGTCTGAAGTACCTCACGTGCTGCACCCTGCGAGCTGGAGAGCTCTGGGGGTTGTGGCTTAGCTCGGTGCTTCAGTGCTTCACAGCCTCCTGTCTGGATCTCAAACCCGCTGAAGGTTCCTCGCTCTCAGTTTGGAGAAGTGCTCTAATCAAATACGGGTGTCTCTGCAGAAGAGATCCTCGATGATGGTCTTGGAGCTCTTGGATGTAGATGTTGAGATAGACTTTCCTTTATCAAAATAAGCGTACGCTAAGAAGTCTTTAATAGTACTTTGCTCCACAAAGTGAAAATACCGGTGTCTTGAGGGTGGTTTTTATTACAGGTTTTTTCTTCAGAAAACAGGTTTCTGTTTCAAAAACATTGTACTCTCTCTTGATGATAAAGACTTGCTGATCACTTGCTTGACATTTCCCCTGCGACTTGGGCAGCCTTGCTGTGAATCCTGTCTTCAGAGGTGTTTCCTTTAAGTGTCTTCATTCAGTAGAGGCTCTGCAAACAGTCTATGGCAGATAGGTTTTCTTGGGCATTGATCTGTGGATTCTTGTGCCTCTCCAGATTTCAAGTGGCGTTAAGCACTAACTGAAGGTTTTGCTGGAGTTTAAAAAAGCCCTCCAAATAGAACTTTCAGCTCTGTTTTCATTTGAGCTGTTGCCCAGATGTTTCCAAATAAAATGTCGTCCTTCTTCTGCCTTCCTTAGCACGCACCTGAGTGGGAGGGCAGGGGATGCGAATCTGAAAAGGCGTCTCTCTTGGCATGTTCTCTGCACATGCCCACAGGTGATGGCAGCTCTCCACCGAGCAGAGTGAGCACCTCTTTCTCTGGGTCATCCCTCCAAAGATAAGCATAAGGCCACACGGGAACGTGCCGTCCTGGTGTGTTTCAGGGCTTTTACAGCTGTTCGAGTGGCTCGGCTTGAAGCTTGCAAAGACTGTGTTCCCTTTGTGGTTTACAACAACGGTGATTTGCCGGGGAATTTTCTTCCTGAAAAGACGGAGATGAGTTTTGGCAGGTCCTTGCAGAACAAGCGCGGTCATTCGGCAGTCGAGATGCCGCGTGACGCGCGGTGGAGCAGGGATCCCGATAGCCTTGACACCCAGCTCTGCTACAAAGCTGTTCTGAGGGCTGGAAAACCTGAGGGGGTGAATCTGAGCCCGCCTGGGACTGGGGCGTTGTGTAGTGGGAGGAGATCACCTGGATTCACTTCTCGCCATCCTCATTTGAGGAGGACTTGGGTTCTGTCTTGTCCGTCTGTACAACAGACGTTGGCTGAGGCAGAGGTGGGGTGCTGGGGGGTGGGGGGGGTGAGTTGTCCTCCACCTGCTTGTTCTGTCTTGGGTGATTTACATGAGCGGAATAGCTTCCACAAGAGGGAGTTTCATGTCAGAACATCCTCAGCCCTGGCTTCCACAACACTCGCCTGAATCTAATCCATGGGGGTTTTTTTGGTTAAAGCTTTTCTAGAGGCTTCA